CACTAAAAGTGCTCTAATGCATCTTAAGGATTTACTCATTCCACCAGGTGTGGGGCCACAAACTGCATGCAACCCAACAGCCAACACCATATTCCAAATGTAAAAAAGTCAGTGTGTGCATATAAAAAATGGCCTGTTTTCACTCTCAGAGATCTTCTTCAAGAATATGCATTAGGGAGGTGGAAATCCCCGCAACCAAAAATTAAAATCAGAAGCACCTGTTGAGCAGTTCCTATTGTTGTTTCTCCCCCACCCAATTTTCAGCCATTTCTGAGCCTGGTGCAATCTGTGGCAGAGCAAAGACTTGGCTCCAAAACCTTGCCAAGCTGCCCACCTCTGCATTACACTGAACATGGCCCTTAATTAGGAAGCTCTGGGGCAGGGGATTTACCTTTTCTTGTTGTACTTAAAATGAGATAATGTACTGAATTTTCTAATGTGCTTGATTTACTGAATAGATATTTCTTGTATGAGGAAGACTCCAAATAGCAGGAAATGGATCACTCTATTTTGTTCAAGAAACTAACCCTGCAGCACATTCCAATGAGTAGTCACCTCTTAATTTAATGCAGCAACATTATCACTAAAGTCAGCATCGAAAACATCCAACAGCACATTCTATAATACATATGCCATCACCTCTTCTGATGTTCAATCAATTACAAGTAACCTATGTTTCTAATGAACTACAAAAGTCACAAACTGAAAACTGGAGCAGAGAGAAAGAAGCCGGCCCTAGAAGCATTTTAGTCCATCCTCACACCCAGGTAACTATAAAGTTTCAAGGCCAAACAATGAAGCAATACAGGCTGGCATACTGATATATGAAAGGTTGAAAGGCCTAGTTGTTTTTGCACTTGCCTCCTACAGTTAAAAGCACATTGTATGTGATTTGGTTTTTAAATGTTATTATAGGATGTTCACAATTTCCATTAGAAAATTAGTAAATCCCAAGAGAGAAAAATATAAATATGAATTTGTATTAAGAAATGCCAAGTTGTTTCCCTCTCAATATAGCCATTTGAAAGAGAAAGAAGATAGGTCATCAAAGCAGAAATCATTTTGGTGGAGGACGAGAATTCATCTAAGTGGTTAAAGGCAGTCCAAGCCAGATATACAATCTTCAAGTTATTTTCCAACTTTTGGGAAAATATCAGAATATATATAAAATAAAAAAGCATAATCTCCATCAATGATCAAAAGCAACCAAAATAGAAGTAGAAAGTAATTTTGAAATCTAAGTGACAGATAAATCATAGCAGGCTACCAACGCTTAAAGCATGGTACCAAACCCTTCTGTGTAGCACAGTGTGTGGTCAATGAGATCAACAAAATAAACATAATGTAAAGACACAGACATCAATTAGTTTGCTTTGCTCACTTCTCCCTCTTATATTGAATGGTGGTACTATAATGCAACCAAAGTACCTGACTTTTGAAGTAAATCCCGATTGAGGAGAAACGCAACAAGAACAATGCTTGTTAGGCCGAGTCCCATGGGATTTCACTATCCCTCTGCACTGGTGAATTTGCATGTCCATACCCTCATAAATTTCAGTCACCTCTATATTTGGGCACCCTTTCAGTAATCCTTCTAAACCTCCAAGAGACATTTTAAAAACCCAGTTTTAACTGATTTGAATAAAGCAGTTCAAACTGTCAAAAAAACAATGCATCAGTCACACTTGCCAAAAAAAAAGGAGGCAGTTCATTTTTTATATACCATATATAAATGAGAAATTGTCCCTCAATATCTAGAACACATATGAACACCACTGAACAGAATGAAGATGGACTTGGTCAATCTGAGCAAAAATATCCAAAACATTACAAAATAGAATATCAGTCTGAATTAAGGGAAGGCAATCTGTAGCACGCCTGAGGTTTGACCAAAAAAACAGTACTTATGATTTTTATTTTTTATTTTTGCCAGCTAAGTGACCATTACTTCTTGAAAAACAGACAGCTATAACAGAAGTATGCTCATTGTAGAATAAAAACTGAGCATGTCACATTACCATTATGCTACTGCATTGACCAACTGTTAGACCAACACATATAACTTTTGTAATGGCATATTTAACCCATAATTAAACCCGTGAAAGCTTTTGAGAATATATTAACCCATGATTAATCAAAATTCCGTTATCTAATGAAACAGAATAGCATTTTCCTGAACTTCTTCCCCATCAGCTTCAGTAAATCAATTCTTCTTTTTGGAAGTATGTTAAACGGCCTATTTTGAAGGCACAACTTTGGTGCCTTGAGAAACAAGACAGGAATCATTTATCAGCTTTGTTCTGGATTCTAAAACACTGAGTTACAAACGATGGGTTTGGGGAAATTTGTGGAATTGTCCACCAGGTGCCTGAAAATAAAGGCTGAATTTGATGTAGTATAAATGACAGAGGGAAAAACACAAAATACTTGTAAGTTATTTATTTATTTTATTTATATCCTGCCTATCTAGTCGGTTAAGACCACTCTAGGCGGCTAAGTTAGGGCATGGTACACACAAGATGGGTTTGGAAAAAAATATCTTGGTTGGTGGATCTTATTATCAAAGGATCCTGAAACACGGATGTTGGACAGAATACAAAACTGGACAGTACTTCTTCCCTGATGTTTACATCACAAACCAAGAGCCTATCCAGTTGGTATGATAAATAGATAGTGTACTGCAATGTCTTTCAGATCACCCCAACTTTTAAGATGGGAAAAATGCAATGCTATTACTGATATACTCCCAAACGTGAGCAGGCTCAGAGCAGTACAATTTTGTCCCAAGCCTGAATGTCTATGAGAAATGTTTCAGGACTTCTACAAATTTAAGGTTGAAAGAAGGATCTCTCCAGGGTGTGTGTGTCAATATTTTAAAATGAACTGCAAATCCAATTATTTGGATTATACGTTGAAATTAATGCAGAAGAAAAAATATGTACCCATGGGAAAATTCAAGCTACTGCTAGGAATGAAGCAATAGACGGCCTATGGAACTGCAGCTAGGAAAGCTTGTATCCTCATTTTCACACCTGAATAAACACAATTTAGTCATGATTTTAATAATCTGCAGAACACCTAATTAGGGATTATAATTAAATAAAAAATCCTTTACCCCCTTGAAATTAATAAATTCTTGTGATGCCCATGTTGAAAAACTACTATAATATACGTTATTTGGAGAAGAGACCCGAGTCGTTTCTAATACTATACTCAGATTCTTAATCAAGAAAAATTGTTTCTGGGACACTGATCAAGGCATGAAAATTCAACACTCTTGAAGAACAAGTAAAATAAAAATGAATGTTTGAACTATGCTTGAAAGAAATATAATTAGGAGTTTCAGATACATCATTCTGAACTTTTTCAAGGAGGTTTAGAAGTATTACTGAAATCATTCTGAACTTTATGCAATAGAATAAAGAACTTTCCAGTAAATCAAATTTGTAGGAGAAGAAAAAATTCTAGAAAGACTACAACCTACAGAAACAAAATTGACATATGTGCCAGCAAATAATCACAAGCTTCAAAAGGCTGGTTTGATCTACTTTATCCTAGCCTACTGAGATGGAATCGATCCTATATTTCATCTCATAAATTACTAGTGATAACTCACTTAACATAAATCTGTTTATCTGAATTACTGATAGTGTTTCTGGGCTATGCAAACTTTGTGAAAAATAGCTACTTCAAAGACGGAGTTGCCAAAAACTTTAAGAACTCAAACAAGATATAAAACACTATTTAAAAACATGCATGAATTTAGTATGCATAAATAAATAGATAAACTCTTAAATATGGGAAAAACAAGGTTGTTGTGTTCTAAAAATTGCAAGTTACAGGAAGCCATATTTAAGCTGAACATCAGGAAAAACTTCTTAACTGTGAGAACAGTGTGACAATGGGACCAATTACATCAGGAGGTGTTGAGCACTCCAATGCTGGAGGCATTCAAGAGAAAACTGGACACTGATTTGTCAGATCTGCTTTGATTTGGATTCCCGCATTGAGCAGGGGGTTGGATTCAATGGCCTTATAGGCCCCTTCCACCTCAATTACTGTATTCTACAATTCAATGAAAAATCTGGAATATTTATTATTGCCATAATATATTTTTCCTTACAGAATTTGCTATAAAAATCTAGTCTACACTTCACTGTATAGGTCTAAATCCAATTGCTAGCCCCAATTAGAGGTAGCACTTTGAATTAACTGCTAAAAAGTAAATTAGCAATTATGTAAAACCCAATGATGCAATGGGTCTATTCTGGTTAGGACTGGCAATAGTTTATAAAAACCATTTTCTATTTCAGAGAAAATCAGATTAACCAGGTACATCTGCAACAGGCAGACCCCTGCTATACAGCTCCAAATTGCACACGGCCAGAATGAATACAAAAAGAAACAGACAAAACCCCATACACACCCACCAAATGAAAGCACATGGACAAATGAGGCATGCAAACAGAATTTTTCACTCAGAGCTGCATATTAGTGGTCTAGCCCACAAAAAACAAAAACAGAAACAGAAAAAAAACCAGGTACAGATGTCTGTGCATACTCCAACATATCACCATTTTGCCTAGAGGAAGCACAGATTCTGTTTGCTAACATAATGAAGAAAATAACACACCTCAGGTTAGCAGCTTAATGCCTGTGACCTGAAAACCACAATATACACTAATTCACAAATATAGCCATCAGAACTGGAACCCTCTTCTTCACTACTACACTCTGAATCTATCAAGTCTGCAAAGCTTGCACAACTTGATGGGAAGACTCTTCAAATATATATATACACACATAAATAAACACACTCTTTCAATAGAGTACTAGGCCTCTCCAGATTTCTGGGAGACACTAGAATATCAGCTGCCATGTTGTACATTTTGGAATAAAAATCCCTCCTTTGAGCCATTGTTTAAAAAAGGTCAATAGGTGACCACCCGCCCCACAAAAATATTCTTCTAGCAGCATTTTCGACCGAAGTGTAAAGCAACCTGGTTGGCTTCCATGCAGGCGATGGCCTCTTCCAAGAGGGAAAACTCCACGCAGATATAGCCATAGTTGTAACCTGGGGACAGCATTTAAATACAGACGGGATTTGTGTTAGTGCCAGAAAGCCACATGTTCAGTACCCAATTTCCCTTTCCCTCTCAGCACACACCCAGCAGCACCACCCTATGCTCCCCACACAAAAAGAGAGATAAAAGCAACATTCAATGCTCCTTATACCTGAGATCAAATTCAAATTTTGGTTTGGCAGTACTTGACTGCAACCCAATAATTCTCTTTGCTCCTTTCTGAATCAATACAATACAGTAAGCAATTTTTGTATGTGTGTGGAATAAAGACCCATAGAGTTATGGGTAGATTCCCTTCCAAAAAACTGGGGAGATGCCAAAGCTAACCTTACAAAAGAAATGCAACAGCCATTTCACAAATCCAGACAGAGTTTGCTTTCAAGAGCAAGATTTTAAATAGAAAAAGGTTTCTTTAGTTTTCAGCTGCATTAAGCTAAGACCTTTTTTCCATTTCAAGTATATAATATGATAATTTTCAAACTTTTAAATTTTGACTTATATCAGTCTAGTGCATTTATAAATAAATGAAATTACTAATAAGTGCATAATTAAAATGTTATTCTTTCTTTCTTCAAAGATAGTCCAGATGAAAAGATAAGCAACTATTGAAGTCATTGTAATCTCTTTAGCTGAAGACATAATTATTTAACTATAATGCATTGAGACAGAAGAGGCTATTCTGGAGATGAAAGCTGTTTTAAGAAAGAATGCACCCATCTTCCTGAAATGGAGGTCAGAAAGGCACACAAAATGTCCTTACCTCAAAATTATCAAGGATTCATAATCATCTAAATTAATGACAACGTGTACTCAGGGGAAGACGTGCCACTTTAAACAATGAACAGTGTGCAAAGTTTCCACGGCTGAAACTGTAAGAACTGTTTTGCATTGGACAATTCATAACAAAACCAAAGAGAACATTGTATCCTGACTACTTCATCTACTTAGACGCTTCAACTATATGATTATGTATTCAACATTATGTATTCTCTCTTACATGGAATACATATATCACAAATTAATGCAATAGATAGCATTTCAAAGCTAATTCTATAATTGGTTACCACTGACGAGCCCAGCACGTGTCTCTCTTTTGTTTTTGAAACAGCCAAGCACTTTCAGCAGCACAAGCCCACCACACTGAGTATAATTATCAAGAGATAAGCATCTTTATATGGTACAATGGGAAAGAAATCTAGTAAATACTTATATTAGCAGCCATAGCTATTTATTACAAATGACACAGGGATCACACTAAAAACACCTTTCTCTGTAACACATTATTGTACACACACATATTAGGACTACATATTCCTGAATGCCCATCCTACTATATGCTATTGGTTGTTACTTGTACAGGCAAGGAAAAATACCTTGGTTTGTCATGATATCATAAAACATTGCCCTTTATTTACAAGGAAAAATGGACAGTACATGCCACTTTGATGCTACTTTCAACAACCTTTCTAAGTTTTGTTATGCCAATAGGATTAATGCTGCTTTGATTTGTTAAGTTCCTCAGATCCATTAATTCCCTCAGAAGGGTTCATTTTGTTTGATTTGTTAACTTCTTCATGAACAATATCCATATCCAAACCCATGTAACTACAGAATGAACTCCTGATATTTTTAGGATCATTTTAACATTTTCTCGAAGGCAAAGCTACAAACTTTATTTACCAAGCCATTTATACTGTGAGCCTATGAGGCAGCATGTCTCTGAATGTCACAAAATCTGGAGAGAACTACTGTCCTCATGTCCCGCATGTGGGCTTCTATGCAGGATCTCATAAGGCCACAGCAGGAAACTGGACTCACTTGGTTTGGTCCATCAAGTCTCTTCTTAAATTAACCATATGAAATGTAATTTGTATAGAAGCATATTCTGTATAAATTACAGATAGATTCCATAATACACTCTAGCACTATCAGAGAAGATCTTGCCTGCAAATAAGGTACATTCATCAACCCTTTGTTCTACCTCCAACCAAGTTAGGAAGATCAACTAGGATATATTGCATTTCATATTACAAGTTCATGTTCTGATGTACACTGATCATCTACCAGCAGCCATTTCACCATTCTGCAACAGAAGTAGAGAAGAGAAACAGGCCCGTTGCTGGCTCCTTTTAGGATGCCAGATATTTTGGGCCCCTCTTTGCCATAAACTGCTTGCTATTCTAACAGTTCATTAAATGAACTCTTTACAAATTGGCAACAAAGACTGTCTCTCTCCAACCTCACCGTTCCATTTTTTCTTGCATATTTTAAGCTTGGGGAGAGATACATCATTTTTCATTAGTATCTGTAAACTACTCTATGACCCTTTGGGCTGATAATAGATTTTGGGAGAAAGCAGCAATTTTCAGAGAGCAAGTATGGAAAAGTTAAGTGGTTCTTCTGGATGTTTCATATGCTAAGCTAGTTTCTCAGAACTTCTGATTCCATTCAAATAAGAAGAGGGTGCTGTCAGGCCTAAAGCTGAAACTGGACCATTAAGAAGCAAGGAACTATTGGCATAGAGAAATACCCAAACGCAAACATACCAAAATACCTTTGAAAATAATTTAAGCGGCCAAAAACACCAGGACTACCCATGGAATGTAGCACGAGAAGAAGAAAAAGAAGGAAGAAGCAGATTCTGGTGTGGGAATGGAATGGAATGCCCTGCTAGGAGGGCAGAACTGGTTAGAATCGTACACAAGAATCCTCAATTTAAGAGGGAAGATACACTGCCACATTATACTGCAGGTCCCATCTGTTACACTTACTTATGTCCATGATTTTGAAGATGTAACAGCAGTTTGTTGCCTTAACCCTTGTTAGGATCTAACACATAATGGCTCTATTTGGATATTATGCTAATACTGTACAATGTTCACACCTAAGCATGAGTTATAATAAGGCTCCAAATTCAGTACTCTCTCCCTGCAATCAGTTGCCAAAAGAAGCAGATGGGAAGTCCTCCTTTCACTTTAGATTAACCTGGCAATACGAAATCCACATATGCCGTCCCCCAGCATCCCTAACGAAAGGAGCAATTTCACCATGTTTCAGGAGCTCCCAACATCCTGCTTCTCACCCCAATTAATCTTTCTTTTTTTTTAATTTTGGCCAACAGATGTGTGATGATTTTGGAGTTCATCATATATTAGACCTTATGAGAACTTAATCTCACATAAATCTATTTTCTGATTGAGCTAGAGAGTCACCAGAGCAGCCAGAAAGGAGAGAAGCAAATCAACAATGGCTAAAATAAGCAAAATGAGGGTGATGTTTCAGGACAAACAAACTTGATGTACGGTATTCACTGGAACCAAAGGCACTTTGTTAGAAATTTTTCCATCAAAATGCTAGAATGTTAATATATGAAGTGTAATTGTTAAATTCTTGGCTTGCATTGATCAGAGTAAGCCAGAAGTCAGGAAACTGCCACTTTCTCGATGTTACTGACAACAGCACCCATCAGCCCTGACCATTGGCTATGATTGCTGGGGCTAATGAGAGCTAGAGTCCAATAAGATCTCAAAGATCAGAGGCTCCTCATTCCATCACTAGGCACACAGCCTTTTACCTGGGTTTTGCAGATAATGGACTTCAAAAATACAAAAAGCAATATAAATGGCACTCCAAGCAGCTCATGTTACAATGCAGACTTTTAATTTATAAAGTTTAAGTTAAGCAACTTGCTAACTATGAGTTCCTCTTCCCACTGCTACCCATTATTTTCTAGCTCTGAAACCAAGAATTATGCTTCTGCCACCCTGTTTTATATAATATTATTCACTACTAATATCTACTCAGAAGGAGAAAAGCACAGAATTTGCTATAAGTGTTCATTTTTGTGTGTGATACATGATATGAATTTAGCTACAAATCTTGGGCAAAACAAGGAAACATCCATCTCTTCCATCTAAGTAAGCTTTTCTCCATCCTTTAACCTGAACCAACCCAGATCCACTAGCAGACTGGATTGGTCCAGGTTAAAGCAACTGGTTGAAAATGGTCTGTTATTCCAGAGGGCCAGTAAAATGGTATGTTGTTCAACATTACAAGGCATCCTGAAACACATTTCAGCAAACTGTAGGATAATGAACAATAGGTTAAGAATGCCCACCAATGATAACATCATACAATACAGTGGTGCCTCGCTTAACGATTACCTCGTTAAACAACGAATCCGCTTTATGATGAAGTTTTTGCGATTGCAAAACAATGTTCCTATGGGGAAAATTCACTTAATGATGATCGGTTCCCTGCTTCAGGAACCGATTTTTCGCTAGACAACGATTTTAAAACAGCTGATCGGCAGCTCTAAAATGGCCACCTGCTGTGCAAAATGACTCCCCACTGTGTTTTACGATGGATTCCTCGCTTTGCAGACACTGGAAAATGGCCGCCCTATGGAGGATCTTCGCAAAAGGAGCAGGTATTTTGCCCACTGGAACACACTGAACCTGTTTTCAATGTATTTCAATGGGTTTTTTAATTTCGCTTGACGAGCATTTCGCTTAACAGCGATTTGAATGGAATGAATGATCCTCGTCAAGCGAGGCACCACTGTATAGGTTTCCTACATGAACATCGCCTGCATGGGGAAAGGTTTAAGTCCTTTATGTAGACTCTTATACTAATTGTCTCCTTATAACAGTCCATTAAGCATTTTATTCTCTGTTATGTTTGAATACACTTAGTAGCAAACCAGGACCACCCATGGCATCTCAGCATCACATAAGTAAAGAAATATTGTAGTATGGTGCATTTTGTATTTTCTTAAGCTCAAAGATTGGTTGAAAAACTTGCAAATGTCCCCAGTCCCATGTTTCAGAACAACTTCTGAGCAGCACGGGGTTTTGTTACAAAAGAGCTGCTATCACACAAAACATATTAATTTAAATGCTACTTTAACATATAGCCCAGGATCCAGATTATCCACATGTACACTAGAGTTCCCCACACAGAAAATTCTCACCGAAATAACTCATGCTCCTGAGCATGGCACTTGGCCAAAAACAAACAAACAAAATCCAAGCAAATACCACCACTACGCATCCACCTACCTTTGTACATATAAAGAAACACTTTCAATTTGCATGTCAGGCTCTTTAGAGCCCAACCATTAAAGACAGATGGACACATATTAGGTCACTATGGTTAAAAAAAAAGTATGTTGGTATATTTACAATTAAATGTAACGCACAATTGTACTACTTTCTCAAACATCAGAATGTTAGTATATAACTTTTTTCTCCAAATTTTTCACCCCTGTTTTTCAACTGATTTAACAGTGGTTCCTCTGGACTGTGCTTTTGTTACAGCTACCTAATGAAACAACAGTACAGCAGCAGAATCACTCAGTCCCACATTATTGTTGGTTTCTACCATACAACTACGGAGGTATTATATTACAGGCACAACTATATTATGAATGAGTTCCTATCCAACTATACCTATATTTTAAACACACTTCTATGAAATCTTAAGCTCCCATGTTTTATCTCAAAATGCTCACTTAGTTTCAAAGGCCATAATCCTGTCAATGAAAGAAGAAGCAGAAGAGCAACCATGCAAGCTATTTCCTTCCTCCATCGCGGTGTTCTCTGCATGACCAGCCAGTCACACACTGATTTTACAACTGGTTGTGCAAAGGACAGTTAATCAGGACAGAGAAACTGTCTGAGTGATGGCCCTTGCACATAAGTTTTCCTGAACAGGATTACGACCAAAAATAAATCAAGTGACACAATGAAAATACAAAATTGCATGCACTAGCCATTCTTTCATCCATGTTAACTTTAATATACTGCTTTACTGGTTACCTTTGCTATTGTTGAACTCCCTGGTGGCAGAAATAATGACATGTACAAATACACTAAATTCAATGTTCCACTATTATTTGTAAGAACACTTTCTTCCTCTCCCCCCTGAACTACTAAAAAAAAATGTAATAAACACCAGCTCTTAAGAATTTACCAGGTCCCCAAATCTAATTTGGGGGAGGATGCGTACACAGAAATGCAGCAATGAAGGAAAGCTGCCCTCAAATGATTCTACTACAATCTCTGCTATTCGGCTGGTAGAAGTCCACCATTGGATATTTAGTATATTTTTAGAAACTGATTAAAATAACATGGACTTACTAATTTGCCTGTCATGCCATTCACACATTTGATCAATTGTGATATAAACAGAAATGTATAAGGAACAGATAAAAAAACAGAAACTCTGATCATGTCATTATCTGGTTGAGCTAGTGGGGAATATCTCTCTTTCACAAGGCAGAGTTTCAGCCTGCACGAAAGAGGTAGTAGACCCTTATTGAACCTTCCTTGAACCCTACCATACTGGATAATTACTAGCCAGTCTCTAATAGAGATGGGGATATCGTGTTAAGTTACGAATATGAATACCCAGGTCCCAGCTGCAACTAATGCAGCTCCAGCTCTCAGAACTGGCCCATCTACTCATGCATTGCCACACTGCTAGTGTCCTGCTCTTCCTGCCAATAGCGGAAGTAGCTCCTCCACCTCCTGCTCAGCTGGCCACTCCAGAAAGGGGGCAGGGATCACAAGTCTCCCCGTACCGCTCCTAAGCGGCCAGTTGAGCAGGGAGACAGAGAAGCTCCTTCTGCAATTGGTGGAAAGAGCGGGATGCTAGCAGAGCAGCAGCATGTGAGTAGATAGGCTGGTTCCGGGGGCCAGACCCTTATTAGTTCCAGCTGGGTCCAAGATATTCATATTCATGAACAAATACAAATATCCCAATTTCTAGTCTCTAACATATCTTTGGCAAGGTACTAGAACATGCGACAGCTTATCAGCTCCAGAAGTCCCTAGATGACACTAATTATCTAGATCTATATCAATCTGGCTTCAGATAGTTTTGGTAGCCTTGGTGTATGGCCTACCCTAGAAAATGGACATGATGGTTGACTGTCCTTGTTGGTTCTGCTGGATCTCTCTGCAGTTTCTTGTGCTTTTAACTAATATCTCTCCATGCTTCTTCTTTGGGATGGGGCTTGTTTTATTGTGGCTTTGGCCTTTCTTGGAGGGGTGAGCTTAGAAAGTGGTGCTGGATTACTCACTTGACAACCCTGCTAATGTCAGGTCTCTTAGTGGCCTTGTCCTGCCCCCATGCTTACAGGTAACCTCTGGGAGAGGCTGCTCCAAGTGCAAGTATTCAGTGGTACCCATGATTTAATCATGATTTAATTTTTTTTAAATCATTTTTTTAAAATTTAAATCATAAAAATCTAAGTTTTTTATTGTGATTTAAATCAAATCCATCCCATTCAGAATTGTCCCAGTAACAGCCTCAGAGAGCTCTTTAGAAGCCGAGTTCAAAAAGCAACCCACAAATCTTGTTTCCTTTTAAACTGCTCTCCAAACTGATTTTGAATGCAGGGATAAAGAAAGCTGTTCAAGGATATGTACTATGAGGGGTAGCATCTATCTAAAATTTTTATTGTGATTTAAATCAAATCCATCCCATTCAGAATTGTCCCAGTAACAGCCTCAGAGAGCTCTTTAGAAGCCGAGTTCAAAAAGCAACCCACAAATCTTGTTTCCTTTTAAACTGCTCTCCAAACTGATTTTGAATGCAGGGATAAAGAAAGCTGTTCAAGGATATGTACTATGAGGGGTAGCATCTGAATAGAAATGTACACAATAATATATGTAGTAACCACACTTGGGCTACAGCTATATATGCAATAACTGGAGCTCAACATATTATAACTACCTAGTAAAAAAAGTAACTATGATGAAACAATGAATAGCTTTTAAAATGCTATGAAACAGTAATACTCAATATTGTTATATACTTAAATTTTTAGTGTTGTTTCTTATGCAGTTTTCTAATGGTTATTATGTACTTGTAATTGACTATGATCCATCCTAAGTCCCCTATCTAGAGAAAGGTGGCATGTAAACAAAATAAATATAAATACACATATATAACAGAAATTTAAAATTCTACATCCATATACTATAGAGATGTGTTACAAGTAGGGTAGAGAAAGAAAGAAAGACCCCAGAAGGACCTCCGGGACACCTCTCTGTTCTCTTTTGCATAGCTCTACCACCTGGATCTGTAATCATTTTCCATATTGCTATCATCACATTGTCAGGCAACTGGGACAAGAGAAACGAACTATGAACATTTGCTGATGTGACTTATACAGTGGGGTCTTGACATGAGAACTTAATCCGTATTGGATTGGGACAAGAGAAACAAACTACGAACATTTGTTGATGTGACTTATAATGAAGAATTTTTTGATTGGGGCCAAACAGCAAAAGGGGGGGGGGAATGTTAGGGCTCCAAAGGAGCAGGACTCATAACAAACATTCAACTTTGCTATATTTTATTCCCATCCCACTCACAAAACTGTGAATTATTTCTTCATAAAATTCATCTGGATACCAAGCAGGAAGTTGTACATAAACCATACTCTGAAATAAGAAAATCCACTCAGTATAGAGATCTGGGAACCATATGTTAAGACATATCCCACTAATTCTTCTAGAGCTACTAGCATTTGGTTATACTGAACATAGATAACTCTTTGGTAGTGCCATGAAATCACATGAGACATAAAGAACCTATCTGAACAGAAGCTGTTACAGGGGCAAGTATCTTCAGGGTAAGGCAAAACCTCGACCAGTGAGAGTATTTCATTTGAAAACACTCACAAGAAACAATACCACCTCTTGAAGGCTTACCTAGAACAACTCTGACTTTGAAAGTGAGCTAACCTCATGGCTTGCACGGGAGATTTATAGTTGAATTGCTAAGTCTGTGGCAAAACTCATTAATCCTGGAGAAAGCAACAAAATGGTCCCACCAATATTTAAAATCAAGAGGTGTTAGGATGTCAGCTGACAAAATGGATTATCTGACCGACACTTAAAATTTTAATGTGAGCCCAAAGAACACAAAAATTCTCACCTGTAGTATAATCTTTCAGGCGCATGTTCTTCAAAGGTACACCCGCACTTGCTTGGAAGGCATTAAGAATCTGCAGGAGTAAATAAAATGTCAAGTTAATTACCCACATATATATTATAAACAATACAACTGCAACACAGGAAGATTATTCCCACTGTAAAGACTAATATTTGCTTGTTGTAAAATGGGGGTGAGAATCCAAAACCAGAAGAAAAATGACATTTCTATAACATAGCTGATAAAGTTCTCTCAGGCCCAAAGGAGTTTAGGCTACAATAAAAGTATTATTCCTTAAAACATGCTACTAATAGATTTTAGAATACATATTTTTATATTTCTGAAATAAAGGCTTCTAATGGCTTTGGCAGTACCCAATGTGGTGTAGTGGATAGAGTGACAAACTAAGACTTTGGAGGCCTGGGTCTGAATCCCCGCTCATGGAAGCTCAACGCAGGAGTGGCACTGGTAAAATCACTCTTTAAATATTCCATATACTTTAAAGCCCAATTAGGGTTGCTATAAATGGGTTCGGACTTGACAGCAGATAACTAACTAATGGCTTTGGACTTCAATTTCTATGACCATTAAGGTGTCATATACCAACAGGAATTTAAACATGGACAAAACTATTCTGATTTTCACTTCTTTCAAGTTTTACGTTATGTATTATTTACTGCACTTTAATGCCAACTTTACACTAAAAAAAGCATGTTAGGCAGCTAACAAATGCCATGAAAAAAATTAAACTGCAAAACTATTAAAATAATGATCATAATAAAAAAGGACCAGCATTTTAATAGGTAAAATAAAAATGCATCTTCATGCTCTTCCTAAAAGCAGCAACTGGTTTCAAATATAATAGCAGTACACTCCTCAATTCACAATCTTTGTAATAGAATGCATTTACATCTACAGTGCTCCATAATTTAGCATGTTCTTCTACTGTCAAGGAATATTTACAACCAATTATTCTACATGATGACAAGCAGGCATCTTTAAGAACGACTGATGCTATGAACATCAAAAGTTTTAGAGAAAAATCACAAATGACAGGCTTGCCTTCCTCTGTCTTAAAGCAAGCAGTAAAGACTTTTCTAATGAAGGTAATCTTTCCTAATTGCAGTGAAAAATCAAATTATTAGGCAACGCATGCACAGAAGAGGGGGGGAAAGTCTTGGGATAGTTTGCACACAGCCCTCCAGATCCAACAGGCAGTTTCTGACCCGGTAACATTCCTCCACTTTTAGAAATACTCCAAAGAGACAATCACACCATTTATGATGCACAATTAGCAGTTTTGTCCTCTTTCTGCCTCCTGGACCTAGTTTAAAACCGAAGAGGTTTCTTTTTCAAAACCTGAAGCGCCACTGCCAATTAAAAAAAAAACCCTCTCCCTGTCCTAAAACAAATCCAAAGGGAATACTGTACTACAAAATTGCTAATTACACTCTATAAAGATTTCAGGACCCCTTGGACAACTAGAAATTGCCAACCTCTGTCTTAGGACTACCAACCATAGCAGAAATGAGCAATAATATCCTGTTCCTAATCATTTTTTTTTAAATTGCCAGTTGTGAATTCAACTAGGGCATCAAAACAGGAAACAGAAGGTGGAAGTGTAACATTTTTGAAAGAGTATGAGTGAGCAGTGCAAGTGGACATCAGTATGTCAGCAAAACAGAGAAACACCATGATTCATTCAAGTATTGGAAAGCTAATCTAAAAAGAAGAAGACTGTTAGAATACAGCTATTCTTCCCTTCAATTTAACTTAAATACTTACATCATCTTTTGTGGCAGTTTCAGGCACTCTTCCTAGCCGAATTAGCTTGCTTGGTTTTGCATCTTTTAGGCAGGTCCTGTAGTCCTGATCCTTCAAGATAAAATTCCAGAGAAGTTCAGAAGACAATGATGAAACAGAGAAAAAGCAAAAAAATTCAAACATGTTACTTTAAAGATACGACAATTTACTAGGAACCATTTCAATCTGATTTAACAGCACAGTAGATCAGTTTTATAAATCATTCCGTTCTAGATAATTCAAGCACAACTGGATCATATAAACGCTGCTTAACTTCTATGTCACCTTTAACTATCAATCAGAAATTAGAAATTCAACATACAGGAAACAAAATAAAGCTATATAAATTGAGAAAATGTTGGGGGCCACATTACAGATCTCTGTATCACTACTTCAGAACACCTTAACCACACACATAGACAAAGAGAGGAGAACAATTAGCAGGCAAAGAGAACATACAATTTTTTACTTCATCAAAATACAAACATTTATAAAAGGTTTTATAAACATGCTTGCAGGGACAAGCTTTTGGGAATGCCACATACCTGAAGATCTGGCTGAGAATCCTTAGAAGACTTTCCTTCTGCAAATGGCCTGCCATGATCATAATCAAAGACTTGGCCTCCTGGAAGTCTATGATCTACATCTCGATACTCAATGCCTCTGTAGTCTGTATCTTGTCTTCCAAGGAAATCCAGGTCACTTTTTTCTTTCAGTCCAATCCCCGATGATTCAGACACTTGCTGTTCACCTACAGAGAGCTCCTGATTGCTAACAAAGGCTGGAGGAGGCTTTTCTTGGTCCTGAAGTGAGGGAAGAGGACCACAACTGTTCTGGAACTCTACCGAAGATTTGGCTTCAATGTTCGGTCCTTGAGATTCCTCTTCTCTGGCTCTTGGCTCTGAGTGTGGAAACTCCTCATTCTGATTACCCAAGGAACATTTCTCTCTAATAACCTCTTCTGTCTTGCATTCTCTATCTGGTAGAGATGCTGTAGATTGATTGGGCTGGATGTCGACAACATTTTGGTCCACTGGGGGCACCTCCCTATCTGTAAAATCCAAAGATGGTGGCACATCCCTACCCCTAAAATCTTGGTCAGCTTGGGATTTGGGCCTGTTCCTGAAATTAGGATGCAATACATCTCTGTCTCTGAAGTCTAAGTCAGTTGCACCCATACCCCTTAAGTCTACATCAGGCATATCTCTTTTCCTAAAATCTGGATATGGCTGTTCTCTGCCCCTATATTCCTGTTCTGGCACTTCTCTCGTCCTAAAATGTGGATGAGACCCATCTCTGTTTCGGAAATCTAAGTCAAATGCTCCCCTTCCACGAAAATCTGCTGAAGCATCATCTCTGCCCCTATAGTTCATAGCATGAGCTTCTCTATCCCTATAGTTCATGCGAAATGCATCCCTGCTCCTGAAATCCATGTGAGTCATGTGTCCTCCACTGTAATCCATAGGCTGTCCTTCCCTTTCCTGAAAATCTCCCGGATGCATCTCCCTACCTCTAAAGTCTGGAAGGAGTGGCACCCTAGCCCTGAAGTCCAAATGTGAATCATCTCTACCCTGGAAGTCGGAAGGTGGGTAGTCTCTTCCTCCAAAATCACGCAAATGCCCCTCCCCACCTCTAAAGTCGCTACGTGGTCCATCTCTACCTCCAAAGCTGAAAGCAGGTTCCTCTCTGTTGGCAAACTGAGGATTGAGGATGCCTGGGAGTCCCTGGATATCAAAAGGAAGTGAATCTCTGCCAGAGAAGTTGCCAGAGTGTCTTTCTTGAACAAGACTATCAAGGGGAGGAGGAGAGTAATCCCTGTTCCACCCGGGAGCAAATCTTTCTTCTTGGCTCCCACTGTAGAAATAAAGACAGTGTTACTCATAATGTCCGAGTCTGTAATATACACATCAGCATGTTCTTCTCTAATTTTTTTACACAGTTGTTCAACAGTAAGATCCGCAGAAGACATTGATGTTTGGTAGTTTAAGAGGAGGTAGTGTACGACAGACGTGATAAGTAAACTTGCGCATTCCCATTTCACCATAATTCCCCGAATTCAACATGGCATACCTGAAATATTAACGAGTTAATGAGGGTAGCAATCTGCAGAGTCTCAGAGAACATATAACTGGGACGTTTAGACCATCATTTGTTTTAGTAAGTCAAAACATGGGTCCTTCATACTCCAGCAACCAGTGAATTTTTATTATGCCAGTTTTACCACTGTCTTAAAAAAGGATCCCCTATAAAGTTTCTCCAAGCTCATGAAAAAATACCTCATCCATCATTCATAGCAATGGCACATATTTATACACTGCATAGGGTATCACTTTAAACATTGAAAATGTAAGTGGGTCTGTTATAAATTAATTCAGATTTTCTCCACCAGTAACTAATGTGATATGCCTATGTTTTGATACAGCCATATCACACCAGTCACTGGTGGATGAATGTGAGATTAATTAATAACAGACCCACTTACATTCTTTGATTTTTCAAAGCTGTGTAGGAAAACATGGTCATTGTAAATATTCCTTAAGCAATGTACCAGTTCTATTGAGAAACTTTACCAGCAGGTGGTCTAAAGAGTACATAAACATTTACTAAAAGTTATGCTTAAGGCATTAGGAACAGATTTATGGGGAAGAATGTGCTTATGCAAATAATAAAAGGCTGTTCAAATATGAAAAATCTCGACATTGTTTCCAGGTTTACTGGCAAAACTGACATTGCCATAGAATTTTACTTTTCCAATGCACGGCATTCAAAATATTCTGATAAATAGTTTGGCAGATAATCAAATGTTTTACAAAAATGAGAAAGCAGCTTAAAACTGTGACTCTTCAGATGTTTCCCTTCATATTTTCAGAAAAAAGGATGGGGTAGATTATGTCTTAATTCCTGATACAGTGGTGCCTCGATTTACGAACATCCCACCTACGAACATTTCGACTTACGAGCAGGTCCACTCGCAAAATTTTGCTTCGACTTGCGAGTGGAACTTCAACCTACGAACAGGAAAAGGTGGGAAATTCAAACCGTTGGTGGCGAAGAGGCTGCTTCTTTGTAGCTCTTTCACCCCAACGGTTAGAGCAGGGGGTCAGGGACCTTTTTTACTTCTGCGGTGCAGGAGGAAGGAGAGGTGGGGCGGCTCCAGATTGCTGCCAGGCACAGGAAGCAGGTGCACTTCCTACCCATCCCTGGTGTGGGTCTACTCATGAGTAAGGGCCCTCTCCGCTATGGCTGGCCCTGCCACAGCTGCCCTACGCCACCAGCCAGGGCCTCTCGCCGGCTGCCAGAGTGAGTGCCATCAGAGGCGGCTTTGGTCTGCCTGGTAAGGTGCTGCTTTTTACTTTTTAAAAACTTCTGGGTGGGTATGGGCTGAGGGGAATTATGTTTCTGTGCTTTTTTTTTCAGGCCCTGCGTGGGGATTGCTCAATGTTTATTTTTGTAGAGTTATGTTTCTGTCCTTTTTTTTTTCAGGCCCAGCATGGGGATTGCTCAATGTTAATTTTGGTTTTTTGCAGCCTTCGAGGCTTGTTCCGTTGTTTTTTTAAAGCCCCAGCACCTTCCAATTTTGCAGCCTTCGAGGCTTGTTCTGTTGTTGTTTTTTAAAGCCCCAGCACCTTCCAATGGGGCTTTCTGTGCGTTTTTTAAAATTTATTTATTTAAAATACTGGAACGGATTAATCCCGTTCCCATGCATTTCAATGGGAAATGGTGCTTCGACTTAGGAGCATTTCCACTTATGAACATCTTCTGCGACGGATTAAGTTTGTAAGTCAAGTCTGTACATGTAAACTTTGCACCACTTTTCCACAAGGTAGAAATAGGCTACTAAAACTACAGCAAGGCGGCAGATTAAGATTCCTACCCTTGAACAGGCAGGAACACATTAACTGTGTTTTAGCATGCTTTTCGTATTAGACAGCCATCTAGTTGTATTAGTGTGGGGCTTCAACATTACAGATGTGGACCTGCTTCTGCAATAGGACAACTTAGCCCTCCTTTCCTCCAGCATGGAACAGGTAATATTTCTCTCAAAATACACACTCATGAGTTACCCATGAAATTGTTGGTTCAATACTGACAAAAGTGCTTTTCACAAAGTATGCTATAATGGAATTCATAGCTACAAGTGACAGCTACTAGTTAAATGGCTCTAAAAACAAATAAGACCATATCTGCCACAATGCACTATTTCTGACAATCCTTTCCATTCCCTCTCTTGCTTTCTTAGCATTTTTCTCCTTAAAAATATTTTGCACTTCTGTAAAACTTTGGATTTCCTGCTGAGGCCTCCCAGCTCTTATGTGGATGATGCCACTTTACCTACATATGCAGCAGCATTAAGAGTTTAGCTGACTTTTAATATGGGAAAGTGGAAGCTGCAAGAAAATATTACAATCTGGAGGTTCCTGTTCAAGTTTTCCGCTAGCCACTGGTTCTTCCAAAATATTCCACTCTATTCCCTGACTTCCTGTTTTCTTGTTTGTAAGCCAGAATCCAGGAGACTACTAATCAGTACATCACAGACATTATGGAACCCACAAAAATGTTATTTGTACCTTTTTTTGAGGAATACCTCTTTTGCACACTAATTTAGGAATCACATCACAGATAAATCACATATGATGAATCGCTACATATGCCTGATCCCTCCAGCCATTATCTCAATAAGTTATTTGAAGCTCATTCTAGCATTGTACATGTGGCATAAGTATCACTACAAAAACATACTTCACATTAAAATACTCACCGGAAAGGACCCATTCTGTTGGCAGGTCGAGGGTTTCCCCACATTTTGTCCGTCACTGACAAGCAGAATGTTCTTTTTGTTGGTAAAAATCTGTAGAATCTGAGATACAAAGAGAGCAAAGTTTTTAAATAAGTTCATTATCCATTATCCTCTTAGCACAAATTTATGCTGTGCAAGCCAGACAATGTCATCTTCTATCACCACCAATGTTTAATTTCAATGAACTGAAAGTTTCCTATATGTACATCTCTCAAATTCTGAGGTTCCCTAGGGCTCCCTTTTGCTTTTGTGAAGCCTTTAGGAGTCTCACGATGGGGAAGAGCCTTTAATACTAGAAACTTGCTGCCAGATCACTACCAGCAGTCCTGATCAGCCAAGGGTAATTTTTAAATTTTATTTATTTATTTTTATGTACTTATTGGAGCTACTACCCATTCTTTCTCTTTCTCATAGAGTTAAACAGCCAACTTCAAAGCCTTTCTTTGGCCAATCTTAATGGCATTATGTAACCGTGCCCTATCAGTATACTGTCAACTATCTGTAAGCTTGTTAAAGAAATAAAAGGGAGTCCTCCTGGGGGCACTGCCCCAGGGTTTTATTGAGAGATGTGTGTGGAGGCCTCTGCTGGCAGACATCTCTGTGTGTGACTGACTTCTTTAACTTCCCTCTCTAAGACTATTTGCTATCTTAATTATCTGGTGATCACCTAACCTATCAGCCTTCTCGTTTCCTGACCGCAACAAAAAGCAATGCCAAAATAAGTCCCAGTGGCAACAGCAGCCAAAAATCCCAAATAAATGCATTACATCTTAAAGGCTTCCAATGCAATCAAATTATTTCTGACCTTCCAAGGTTTTCTAGGTACAGTGTACTCAGAAGCAGATTATCATCTTCTCCTTCTGTAGGTGCTCTGGGACTACATACCTTGCCCACCACATTGTGGTCTACTACAAGGTACAGTAGGGAATCAAACTCCTGATCATGTGCTCCATCCCACTGATCTATCCAGCCATATAGACAGTTTGCACTAAAACACAGAGAAATGGACAACTTGTCCCGGGGGCAACTTTCTACTCACAGAATCCTCTGGGGCCAAAAACAGTTTACCAACAATGTAGAAGAATAGGAAGGATGAAACGGATATGGACTGGAATTCCATTTCCCATTTTGAAAATTGCAAAAGAGGACATATGACTTATCTGAAAGTGCATTTACTAATGCTAAAGGGTTATAGAGCTGAAATGGAGGGGGTGCTGGAAGACACTGGTTTTGGTGGGAGGTCAAAGGAGAATGATGGGTTTAAAATAGCTTGGGCAGCACACTTTGCCCAGCCACTTTAAATTTAAAAAAGACAAATCATAAACTGAGCAACACCAATAACAGATTAGGCTGAAAAGCCCATTGTTCTCTAAGTGTATAGCATTTTTTAAAATCACAGTACAGTAGTGCCTCGACCTACGACCATAATCCGTTCCAGAAGATGGGCGTAACTCGAAATAGTTGTTAAGTCGAAGCACCATTTCCCATAGGAATGCATTGGAACGCGATTAAACCATTTCCAAGGGAAACCCCCCCCCAAAAAAATTAAACACTGCAAGTCTCGCAGGAATGCAATGGAGCCGAAAAACAAACACACCAAAACACACACACACACACACACACACACACACACACACACACACACACAGCGCACACACACACACCAAGCCCCATAGGAATGCATCAAGGCCAGAAAAAGTTTTTACCAAAAGAAAAAAGAAAAAAAGCAAGCTCTGTCAGAACACAGGGTCAATTTTTTTTTACCAAAAACAAAAAAAGAAAAGAAAAGAAAAAAGAAGAAGAAGCCAGCCCTAGTGGAACCCAATAGGGCTGGGAAAAAATTCACAAAAACAACCCCTATACACACAGCCAGCTCCAGCGGAACATGATGGAGCGGGGGAGGGGGAACACACCAAAACACAAAAAACATCGCAGCACAGAAACATAACCCCCCCAACCCAAACCATCCTGCAAAACAAAATAAATGTACTTACTGAGGAGCAGAAAGCAGCTCCAGGCAGCCCAAAGCCTCCTCCAACGCACTCACTCTAACCTTTGCGGCTAAAGAGCTACAAAGAAGCAGCCTCTTCGCCTACCAACAGTTAGCAAATCTGAATTCCCCGCCTTTTTTCGGTGGCAACTCGAAGCTCCAGCCGCAAGTCGAAGCATAATTTTGCAGCCGGAGCTGGTCGCAACTCAAAATGGTTGTACTGTATGTTGGGACGTTCGTAAGTCGAGGCACCACTGTATGGTACAGATGCAGAGTAAAGCTCTGATTTCTGCCAAATTAATAAATGAAGCTATCAAATTATTTTTATTTTATTCTTCTATTCTTCCTTCCAGGGCATCTAATACACAGCTACTTGATGAGACCCAGATTTCCTTAGCTTCACAACAGAACATCAAGACATTAAATCCAAAAACCGATATTCACCCTGAAGAACTAGTTTGTAGTAAAAAGTGGTGCTAGACCCTGTATTGTTCCTTAAACAGCTGGCGATTTCTGTTCCAAAACTGTTTCTCCCCCCAGTTTCGGATGACACACTAGCTGCACCCTTCTGGGAGAAAACAGAGTTGGCTATGGTCAGACAGGCTCTGATTACACTCGGGTTAGAATATTGTAATAATGGTCAGAAACTACACACAAATACTGCTTTTACAGGGGTACTATTAGGAACATATTTCTCCAATATTGTTCAGGCAATATTCATGCCATGTTTGTTTCTAAGGTCAATTTAAAATAGTGGGTTATTGTAAAATGTTGCAGAGTTTGGGTTCAGTGTGTAAAAGACCAGCTGCTGCCAGGACTTTGTCCATCCACAGAGATTACTAATACAGTAGAAGCACTGACCATGCCCTCCAGCATCTGAGATTAACTAGCTGGGAAGACAGAACAGGACCTTCTCAGTAAGGGTATCAAATTCTGAAACCACTTTCCATTGAATGTGAAAACAATCCTTTTTAGCAAGTCTGAAATGTCATTCTGGATAGTTCAGTGCAGAGTCAGATGATGGGAGTTCAATTCCCCACTGTGCCTGATCCATAGGGTCCTTTCCAGCTCAGCCGATCTAACATTATTATATCGATTCCCTGATTTAAAATTAAACTATTTTTTATTTTCAGAAAGAGAAACGGAAATTTTATTTAAAATGTTTTATTCCTGAACACACAAAACTCCATCAAAATAAATTAAATGATGTACAGTTGTATAATTATGAGACTTATTTTGCCCACACTGAATGGGATGTTGCTTTTAAATATTTTAAATAAATAAATATGGTAAGGTAATTATCAAAAATCATCATGATTCCCTGAACTGAATGGTACTTGGATCTTGCAGTCCTGTAATAAATGATGCTCATTATAACCTAATTATTTTGTTTATACTAAGATTTTGTTTTCACAGTCTCATTTTGTTGTTAAAGCCGAACTGGTGATAAGAGGGTATATGTGTGGCTACAAGCCAGCATACAAATACTGATTTGCTATGCTACATAATTAAGTGGGTTCAGGTCAATAATCAGTGTTGAAGTATGAGGCATTATTTTGACGAAGTCTATCTACCATGTTAAAATCTCTAGTTTAAAAAAGAACATGTCCCATACCCAGCAATTAATTCTTTCCAGAAACTAATTAAGAAGGGGAAAAATATCAGAGTTTAACTTATTGCCAATTTAGATTTGCACCCACTTTTGCCCCAAGCAACTCAAGAAGAAGGGGTGGTTCTGAGTTTTCATGCACAATGTGAAGCATTCAGCAGATCGATGTGCCACCTTGGCTCATTTGTTCTATAATTTTCCGTGCTGCATATTTCCTCCTCCTTCTTGTTCTCCAGAGGACAGACAAGGGGGGGGGCGCCTATCATTCTTTTCTTCATTTTACCCAGCACGAGTATGCTGAACTACAAGTTTTTCATTAGTAGGTTCTCCTATTCTGTTGAATCCGGTACAACAGCTATCCGCCTAGTAGTGCGTAGTAACGACAGATCTCTACCATGACAGGCGAAGGTCTCGGACGAGGCGACTCCCTAAAGCCGCCAAACCAAAAACCTTCGAAAGAGGCGTTCCTTTAACAAAAGAGGCTCTCTCTCCCTCGCTCCCTTAATCCCAACCCCAGGCCGCAGCCAGCAGGAAGACCCAATGATAAACCCCTCACCAATAAACGACGGGCCTGCTTTTCTATTCCTCCCCACCCCAGCCCACCTGCTCCTCAAAAGCAAGCCAGCGAACGAACCCACGGCAACAAAAAGGCCTCCCACGGCCCTCAGCGGCCAAAGGCAGACGCGAAAGGCGCGGCGAACAGGCCCTCAGCGTCAAAGTCACCGACACACCTGCACCACCACCACCACCACCACCACGACGCCCGCCCGGGCCCTGTCAACGCCAAAGGCGCCTTTCCCGCGCGTCGTCGTCGTCGTCCCTTCTCCCTCTAACGGACCAAGCACCGCTCTGCCTCCCTGACAAACCCAGGGCGGAAAGGGAAGAGAGGCGCAGGTGCTCGGCAGGGTTCAAGCAGGTCCGAAATGAGGGAGGGAGGGATGGAGCGGACGAACACCCACCAGAAACAGTCTCCAGCCACCTCCGCTCCGGGCCTTGCGCGAAGCTGCAGCGCCGCTCAAGAAGAAACCGGAAGTTCCGGCAGAGCCGACCACGTGACCCCCGCCCT